CGAGGCTTTCGATGATGATGCTGGGGTAGCAGACATGCTGGATGACACGCACCAAGCTCAGTTCACTGAAGGACGTGACAAGGAGGAGATGGAGGCTACCGCAGATGCCTTCTACCTGATGTTGGACTCGGCACAGAGACCCCTTCATGATCATACTAATGTTTCTCAGCTGGATGTCATTGGTCGCGTAATGGGGTTGAAGGCCGAGTTAAACCTAAGTCGAGAAGGCTTCGACAAGATGGTGGCCGTGTGGAGCAATATGCTACCGAAGACACACATTATGCCAAAGAACTTGTACGAGTTAGAGAAGCTCCTTCTTGCACTTAAGATGCCGTATGACAAGATACATGTGTGTCCGAAGGGGTGAGTCCTATTTAGGAAAGAACACGCGGATGCAAAGTACTGCCCGAAGTGTAAATCCTCCAGGTACGTGGAGGTAGACTCAGGCGATGGCTAGAAGAGGCAGCTTAAGATCCCCATGAGAGTCCTACGACACCTTCCGTTCCTGCTGAGGCTCCAACGACTATTCATGACCGAGGAATCCGCGAAACAGATGACATGGCACAAAAACGGCACACTATACAATCCTGAGAAGATGGTACATCCATCCGATGCTAATGCATGGAAGTACTTCAATTCGCGACATCCTCTCAAAGCAGAGGAGGCTCGTAATGTACGTGTCACGCTGGCAACAGATGGGTTCAATCCATATGGCATGATGGCTGCACCATACACATGTTGGCCCGTGTTCGTCATCCCCCTGAATCTCCCCCCAGCGTCTCCTTTCAACGGCATACTGTGTTCATGTCGTTGATAATCCCTGGACACCCGGGGAGTAATATGTGTGTCTTCATGGAGCCTGTGATAGATGAGTTGATCGATGCTTGGGTCAAAGGGGTGTGGACATATGATGTATCATGCTTGAGCTTGCAGGCGCAAACCAATGCGTCCATGAGTGATGAGTTGAGACAGGTTGCAAACGGCTTCAAGTTAAGGGTGAAGTCATATACCGATTATGACGTGAACGGATATCGCTTCCACACGTCAAGACACGAGCAGACTCGGCCCGGTCGGAAAACCACCAACAACCAAGTTTTTACGCCGGGCACTAATGGTGTCGAATACTACGGAATAATTGAGGAGATATATGAACTTGAATATGAGGGCCGGGTACCTCTTACTCCTGTCATATTCAAGTGCCACTGGTTTGATCCTACACGAACGAGACGGACTCCTCATCTTGGGCTAGTCGAGATTAGGCATGATTCCGTCTATAAAGGAAAAGTTGTCTATATTGTGGCTCAACAGGCCGTGCAGGTGTATCATATGCCATACGCGTGCCAAGACAAAGACCATCTTAAGGGTTGGTCTATTGTGCACTAGGTATCTTCGCACGGTAAACTACCTGTTCTAAACGATGAAGATTACACCTTCGACACAAACACATATGATGGAGAGTTCTATCAAGCAGATGGGCTACAAGGAAGCTTTGACATAGTCTTACCCGGTGTGACGACCGCCATGGAAGTAGACAATGAAACGGTTGATGACGAGGACCCTGGAGATGTACTGCTAAATCCGAAGGACATTCAAATGCTTGAGCTATTCCATTTAGGCAAAGACAATGAAGAAGACACAGAACCTTCGAATAGTGTTGCCCATTTGGACAATTTTGACAGTGATGATGAGACCTATGACCCCAATCATGAAGATTATTCCTAAACCATGTAATACTATGTTTTTTTATTAAATTTTGTTATGTTTATTCATTTTGAACTATTTGACATGTATGTACTAATGCTTGTTATTCATTCTTTGTACATTGCAGGTGACAGAACAAAGATGGTGGGCAACCGTTCACCGAGGCAGGTGCTCTCGGTGTACCAGAGGCTACGCCCTCCTGATGGAGGTGAGGGGACGTCTTCACCCCCAGCGGCGAGAGCAGGCCTAGGTCGCCCTAGCACGGGGAGGGAGGGAGGGGAGGGAGGGGCCGGGGTCACCCCAGGAGGGACCCGCCTCCTCCCTCGACTCTCGACCAGCCGAAGGACCCGTCTCCTACCCCGGAGGACCACGTGGCGGCCACGGGCACGACCACAGACACTCCATCGTGGGACGAGGGGACTCAGCAGACGGAGGACAGTTCTGCTTTCTCGGCTCCCTACCTGCGAGGTCCCACAAGCCTTCCTCCGGTTCCACTTCACGTGCCGGGCCCACCGGTTCGTCCTGTGGGGAAGAAGGTAAGTAATTATAGATGTTATCACTAGTACTTCATATGATACGTTGAAAATCAAAAGAAAATGATAATTTTTCGTAATCACTTATGCGCGGGGGCTGGCTAGTTACATCAGGTGCTCTTGACCCCACGCACCCCGCTTCTGAGTCCCGGGATGTCTGTGGCAGAAACACTTCCCGACCTTGTGGACTTGAAAGAGGGAGGTGGGAGCCGGCTGGTCGTGGGGCAGTACAAGCTTCGCTCGGATGACGAAAGCGGACAACAAGCGAGGAGCGAGTTTTGGCGGACTTTTGGGTAAGTGTCTCATAACATAGCTCAATACATCTCCTCTATTGCTTAAGTCTTTTATTGAAATAATGAACGGATACATCGTGTTTGTATGCAGAGGTACTTCAAGGCCAAAGAAGGTACAGAGACCTGGCGGATCGGGCGGCACACGAGCACAGTAAGAAGTATCGTCGGCGACATGATTCACGAGGCGTGACTCCAGTGCCCACGTCGACTACTACAGTCCATCAAGAAAGAGCCCTCAACAAAACCGCGCCAATAAATGTGGCGACGACCAAGGAGCGATACCTTCGTGTAGGTGAATAATATTAATTCGTTTTAAGATTTAGTAGGTTCGAATTGATCTTCTTATATGTCAAACACTTGATGGTGTGTAGGTGCTGCGGCCTCATGGTGCATGTCGCATAGATCGGCATGGTCGAGGATCGTGGACAGTACCTTGACCCGGCGTACATCGCATAAACACACGAGCAAGGCAAAGCAGGCGCGGCACTGAGGACCGCTCCAACTCACCACCAAGGCAGCCGCAACCTCCCCGCATTCAAGCGGGCACTTGTACGAGATGTCATTTATCTATTCTAACGCTCAATTTTGCCTGATTTCTAATCATCTTGCCGTCTTTCTCGCATGAGGTGGCACACCCGGACGTGCCGGTGTCGGAGTTTGGGGCATGGGCTGTGTCCCACATGGGCCCGGTGAAATCTGGTGTCGTCTTCAACCCGGATGCCCCTGCCCAGGCTTACTCTGACCCAAGCGTCCACGCTAAGGTCAGAGACTACATGGAGGCGGTTAGGGCGCTCCGTGGCTCAGATCACAATCTGAGCACTGAGCCCCTTGAGACAAAGGTGATCGTGAGGCTAGGGCAAGGTAGGAAGCACGGGCGGTTGTGGATTGCAGACGGCGCCGACTCCTCGAGCTCTGCACCTCTCTCTCCGACGTGAGGGCACGGAGCACGGCCAGAAGCCTTCCCATACGTGCACGGCTACTCCAACACTGTCGCGGGTCGACGAACTTCAGGTAATTCCGGTTTCACTCGTCATACATTGAACGTTACACACATTGATCAGATTTGCAATACTGAAACATGTGATTGAAACACTACAGGCCGAGCTGGCAGAGACAAGGGAGACGCAAGCGCACCTGACCGCAGAGCTGGAGGCCACGAAGAAGCAGATGGCGGACATGTATCAGATCATGCAAACCATCGGGCAAGCATCGGGTGTCCAAGTGCAGTTGCCAGCTTCAGCTCCGGTTCAACACTTCACTCCTGTGAGTATGAAAGTTTAATGCGTTCGTGCCGTTGGGATTGTCGGCCTTCGTGCCGTTGTGATTTTCGGCCTTTGTGCCGTTGGGATTGTCGGCCTTCGTGCCGTTGTGATTGTCGACCTTCGTGCCGTTGTTTCTTGTAGGTTGGAAACCTCCCCGTGCAGGGGAGGTGCTGTCGAAATTTTCAATTTTGAGTCTAACACATGCAATCTCTTCTCTTTTGTGCAGCCTCCATCGGCGGGTTCAAACAATCCCGCTAGCGTGTCACCGGCGGCTGATCACGTCAACCCTTCGCCGCAGTCCGGTCCTTCACCGCTGTCCAGGGGGCCACACCTGCAGTTTCTGTCGCCGCAGTAGAGATGTTGAACTTTGTGATGTTGAACTTGTAATAATAAACTTGTGATGTTGAACTTTGCTGCATTTGTGATGGATTTTCGATGGATTTATTAAATATGCGTGTGCTTGTGATATATAATGCATGTTGGTGATATAGATGTGATGATTGATGTGTGTGTATATATATATATATATATTGTCTGTTACAATGGAATGTAAAAAAATTTGCAATTCTCGGGGTCTTTGCCGAGTGCCATAGGCAAGGCACTCGGCAAAGTTTTTCAAAAAAAAATCCAGAAATTCTTTGCCGAGTGCCTGGGCTGGGGCACTTGGCAAAGTATTTTTTAAAAAAATAATAAAAAAACTTTGCCGAGTGCCTGGGCAGGGGCACTCGGCAAAGTATTTTTTTAAAAAAAAATCCAGAAATTCTTTGCCGAGTGCCTAAACAGGGACACTCGGCAAAGAAATTATTTTAAAAAAAATAAAAAAAAACTTTACCGAGTGTCTGGACAGGGGCACTCGGCAAAGTAATTTTTAAAAAAAAAAAATTGCCGAGTGCTGCGTCAGGCCCTCGGCAAAATAACCGTTAACGGCCGACGCGCAACAGCCGAAAATATTTTGCCGAGTGCCGCCCCAAGCATTCGGCAAAATTATTTTTTATTTTACCGAGTGCCCCGATAAAAAGCACTCGGCAAAGACCCTTTGCCGAGAAAAATTTTGCCGAGCGGACTTTGCCGAGCCGAGAGCAAAGGGCTCTTTGCCGAGTGTAAAAACACTCGGCAAAGCCGCGGCCTCCAGTAGTGAACCATGGCGGCACAATAATAACGGCACACTTGTTACTACAACAAATTATTAGCAGTATCATATAATGACACTTTCACAGCAGGTTGCTCGACACCGATGATGATGGAGCTGCTGGCTGCTGCTCCGGCCGGTCGGCGACGAGGACTGCGAAGAGGCCCATGACGCCCGTGTGCCGCCGCTCGCTGCTGTAGTTGGACACGACGGTGGGAACCTCGCCGTCGCGCACTCTGACGGTGCCCGGCTTCGGGTAGCACGTCGTCATGCCAACGATGTAGCCCGCCTCGTCGCCGGCCTCCACCCCACCGCCGTAGATCGGGGTCGACTTGCACAGCAGACGCCCGTCCTGCATGCATGTGACCAAGTCGTACGTCGTCGTCGTCGTTAACCAAGTTTTTTTTTTCTTCCCTATAAAGTTAATTTACGGTGTAATATATACCTGGCATGCAAGGAAGAACCAATGCCACCTGCATGCTGGTGCGCGACGGCGTACACGAGGTCGCCTCCACGCGGCAGCACCTGCTTGGTCTCCTTCACGTGCACGCAGTCGCTCTTGGCTCGCTTCTCTGTTGCGCTGCACTCCTCCACGTCGTACTCAACCATGCAACCCACAGGCATGGCTCTATGAGTGACATCAAATATATAAATCCTGACCGGCACAACGGCGGCGTCGCTCCAGTGTCCAGTCGAGCCAGACCACGGTGTACCGGAAGAAGAGCTTCCTCGCCTCGCCGCCAGCGAACCCTTCCTCCACCTTGCACCGGGGCTGGTCGTAGCAGCAGCGCAACCCGCCGGCGTAGTCCCCGAGGATGCCGCGGCCGTGCTCGTCCACCGTCACGTTGTACAGGTCGCACCTGCACTCGGTGCACGCTACCTTGTCCACCGTGCCCCGCGTGTCGATGGCGTGCACGTTGAGCATCCACCTCTCCACGTACCCTTCCGGCGGCGCCGCCGGGTCGCCGGCCTCGACGGCGTACGGGTCGGGCAACCACGTCGCGGTGCGCCTGGTCTCGGACCCCAGCCCGAAGTACTGCCCGTGCGTGTCGCCCTCGCACACGCCGGCGTTCTGCTTCAGGATCGTCGCCGGCCGCGCGGTGGCGTTCTCCGCGGCGTAGTACGGCCGCACCACCCAGTGGTGGACGTAGGTCTCGTGGAGGGGCACGGGGGCGCCGCGCTCGTCGACGACCTCGCCTTTGAAGCTCTTGACCGCGACGTGGCCCCTCGGGAAGGAGATGTCGTGGTAGTACTTGTTCGCGACGGAGCCGGGCCGCAGGAAGAAGGGTGGGGACAGGAATGTCGCGGACTTGAGCAGGCGGCCGCCGCCGCCGCCTCTCACGTCGAGCGCTTTCGACGATGGAAGCGGGGTGCCGGCCGCCTGTGGCGCCGGCGGCGGATGAGAGCGCGAGGAGCATCAGCACAAGGAGCGCCGCCGTCTTCATCTCGTCGTCGTCTTAATCTGGCAGTAGCGAACTGAGGAAATTAAAGATGAGAAGATCGAGAAGGGCGAAGAAACGTGCCATGCACATGCAGGCTCAAGTGAACTACATACTCCAGAAATGAGCTGCCGTGAAGGTCGTCTGAATAAGCTGGAGTTCTTAAGAGTGTTGCACCTTAAATAGGGACGTGTCATTAGGGTCCACGTGCACCACGTGCCGATGGCCCGATGCTTATGATTACGACAATGCTAGTTTGTGTAATTGTGTTTGGTATAATAGGGCTTTGAAGGACGCTCAAGAGGATCTAAATGTTACAGCGGAGAAATGAACTCTCAATTCCTGGAGGCCAATACATGTACATGTACAATATGCATGAAAGCCCTTATAGATATGGAAATATACAAACACACATATATTTCTAACACCTCTCCTCAAACTCAGGGTGGATCGCGAAAACTGAGTTTGGAGGGAAAGAACCGATGCTAAACTCGCGCCTGCACCTTGATGAAGAAGTCAGCCAACTAGAGCTAGCAGGGCATATAGTAAAGAGCAATGACATCATCCTGCACCTGAAAGATGATATGAACCCAAACTTAACTAAAGAGGTGACAGCAATAGCCAAGAACAGGATCAATCAAAGATTCTGTCCTATTTTATGCAAGTTGCTATAGCAAGAGCCAGTGTACCAACTAACAACACTGCTTCCTGCCGAGTGCTGACTGAGATTTGTTGGACACAAAAAGAAGCATCCACCATTAACATTAATGGACAAAGCTCAGGAATTAGTATCCTACAACGAGGGAGGTCTGCAAGTACTAATAATATGTAGCAAACGTTGCTTTCCACATGCCAAAATAAATATTGAATGTGTGTAATTCAACTGTTAGTTTACAATAAGGGGTCGTTTGGATCCTTTCATATGTAGGAATTGAAATCTACTTAATAAATTAAACTACATGGCTTGGGATTTGACATTCTATCACTTTCTAAAGTTCACATATAAGTCTATCTCAAATTCATAAAGTGGGAGATGGAAATTGATTCTATAGATCACCGTTCTATGTTTTTATTTTGTAACTTATAACACGCTCTTCAACTCGCTCCCCTATGATAGAAATGCAACACATAAATATCTCTCTCGTATAGCTTAATTAATACGTGTCTAAATTATAATTATTAAAATGAATTCAATTCCAAGGATCCAAACGGGACCTAATTGTTTTGAGCGACCAAAACTTATGCACAGGACAACCTGATGTCTGAAAGCAAGATATAAATGTATAAAATAGTACAATAAATAATTGATGACCCAGCCAAAATAAATACTGAATCTGTAATTCAACTGTTAGTTTACTACGGAGTAATTGTTTTGAGCGACCAAAGCTTATGCACAGGACAACATGATGTCTGAAAGCAAGGTATAAATGTATACAATAGGACAAGGAACAATTGATGACCCAGAATACGGAAATACGGACACCTACTGGTGGGCCTAAAGGTGTTGAGCACGGTCAGAAAAATATACAGAGAGAGAGGAAGTATTGTAATGTCATGTTTGCAAAGGGATGGAGCTACTATATACTCCATCTGTTCCAAATTATAAGACATTTTATTTTTTTCTAGATTCATGATTTTTGCTATGCACCTAGATACATGTATTATGTTTAGATATATATAGTAAAAGCTATGAATCTAAAAATATCAGCAAGTATATTTTGAAGAAGTCATAATCAACATATGCGCACTACTGTTCTTGTACATATCATCGCCTTGTGGCGTGCAAGAATCAATCAGAATGCCTGCTCAACCATGCGGCGGACCTCTCGACGTCGGCGGGCACGGCTCCCCGGCAGCCTCTCCTCCCGCCTCCGACTACGCGGCCTCGTCGTTGCCGTCCCGACGCTGCCTCTCCTGTCTGCCAGCTGGCCGAGTTCGTCTATGGAGTAGAGAACAAGAGTTAGGATGACATAATCTCACATGACATTTACTATTAGAATGTAATTGGGTAATTGGGTGATCTATTTTAGATAGTATTGCTGAAAGCAAAGAGTCCAGTAGTACAACCGCTAAAAAACACTCACTCAAGGTACCCCAAATTGTAGTGAGAAAAATAATTTGTATTATTATGTCCCACATTTAATAAATTCAAATTTTAAGTATGAAATTGTATGTATTTTGTAATTGATGAATAAATTAATAACTCAATTTTATAAATATGAAATTATGTATATTTTTTGTAATTGACGATTTAAACAAAAAAAAGACCCAAAATTTCAAACACGTCTAGAATCACAGAAAAACTACAAACAAAAATAGTGAAAATTAGCTCGTTAGGAGCCCATTCAAGATTGTTGTAGACCCAACACGAATTAGTAGTTCCCAATCACGGGTGTAGTGAAATCCAACCAAAAAAAAATTAATTTTTCGTCTAGGCAAATCTTTTATCTTTTACTCCCTCGTATCCCTAAAAAATGTCGTTTAAGAGAATTGACCAAAGGAGCCTAAAGATAGTCGTTTTCCATTCTTCTGTGTTATTTGGACTGATATACCCCCGCGCCCATCCAACGCCTCGTTTCTCCAGCACGCTTCATAACGCCGGCCTTTACTCCGTAGTTCGTACGCATGCTCCCGAGGGCCGGGGCAGTGCGTAACGTTCCACTTGCCGTCCTCAAAAGCAAACACGTAGTAGTACAGGTTGCCTGCTCACCTCCGCCATTGCTGGTTGAGAAGCTATGGAGCCCAAGAAGCAGCAGTGCGACGACCCCGCTGAGGAGGACGAGCGCGTCGGCATCGTGGAGAAGGAGCAGGTTGACGGCGTCGTTGAGGAGGACGAGCACGACGGCGTCGTGGAGAAGGAGGAGCAAGGCGACGGTGTCATTGAGGAAGGAGCACGCGATGGCATCGTGAAGGAGCAGGCCGACGGCGTTGTGGAGAAGATCGATCATGGCGACCCACTACGGAAATCAGTGGCTTTGCCGAGTGTCAGGGGCACTCGGCAAAGAACACTCGGCAAATAATCCGTCGCAAAGACGTCTTTGTCGAGTGTCTTTTATCGAAAAACCCGAAAAAATAAGAATTTTTACCAAAAAAAATGAAATTTTTTTTATCAATGGAGGCCCCCACCGGCCAGCACCCACCCATCTCCGACATTTTTCGCGTAAATTTCATGGCTACGTGGCTGACGTGATTCGAACCCGAGACCTACCGCTGTGCACGTATCTCCTCTACCACTACACCACATTCTCACTTGTGTCTGGATTCGGTTTTAGTTCCCAATACATTATACTAAACCGAGTGTAAATTGCATGTTTGAGTCATAAATGAATTCAAATAAAAAAGTTGTAAACTACAAAGTTTCATAACTTTTCGAGATCTACACTTTTAGTTTAGGAAGTTTTTTCATCCGAGGTCGTTTACAAAATTTGAATTTTAAAATTTTGAAATTCAAACACAATTTTGCATGACAAGATGTTTTCAAATCAAAAAGTTGTCAAGTACAATGTTTCATAACTTTTTGAGATCTACAGAGTTTATTTTGGTTGTTTTTTCATCTGAGGTCGTTTGAAAAGTTCGAATTTTAAAATTTTAAAATTCAAATACAGTTTTGCATGACAAGATGTTTTCAAATCAAAAAGTTGCCAACTACAATGTTTCATAACTTTTCGATATCTATAGAGTTTATTTTGGTTGTTTTTTTCACCCGAGGTCGTTTGAAAAGTTCGAATTTTAAATTTTTAAAATTCAAACACAATTTTGCATGACAAGATGATTTCAAATCAAAAAGTTGTCAATTACAAAGTTTCATAACTTTTCGAGATCTACAAAGTTTATTTTGGTTGTTTGATCATCTGTTCATCCGACATGATCGTTTTAACATTGTTCACAAATCTTATATATCTCTCTCGTAGTTTCATAAACTACAAGAGAAATATGTTAGATTTGTGAACAAATTTATTTTTACTTTGTCGTATGAAGAAAATACCAAAACAAACATTGTACATCTTGATGAGTTATACAACTTTGTAGTTGAAAACTTTTTTCATTTGAATTAATTTACTGCTTCAAAATGTGCTTTGAAATTTTCTTTGTCGAGTGTCAAAAAAAATAACGCTCGGCAAAAGAAGCTCTTTGCCGAGTGTAAAAAAAAATATTTTTTTTTGCCAAGTGTAAATTGCATGTTTGAGGACCTAAACGAATTCAAATAAAAAAGTTGTAAACTACAAGGTTTCATAACTTTTCGAGATCTACACTTTTAGTTTACGAAGTTTTCCCATCCGAGGTCGTTTACAAAATTTTAATTTTAAAATTTTGAAATTCAAACGTAGTTTTGCATAACAAGATGATTTTAAATCAAAAAGTTGTCAATTACAAAGTTTCATAACTTTTCGAGATCTACAAAGTTTATTTTGGTTGTTTGGTCATCTGTTCATCCGACATGGTCGTTCTAACATTGTTCACAAATCTTATCTCTCTTATAGTTTCATAAACTACGAGAGAGATATGTTAGATTTGTGAACAAATTTACTTTCACTTTGTTATATGAAGAAAAGACCAAAACAAACATTGTACATCTGGATGAGTTATACAACTTTGTAGTTGAAACTTTTTCATTTGAATTAATTTACTGCTTCAAAATATGCTTTGAAATTTTCTTTACCGAGTGTAAAAAAAATAACACTCGGCAAAGAAGCTCTTTACCGAGTATAAAAAAAACACTCGGCAAAGAGCCTCTTTGCCGAGTGTCAAAAAAAAAACACTCGGCAAATCGATCATGGCGACGGCGCCGCGGTCGAGTGCACCAACACCATGGACGAGCGTGTGCCCAAGAGGCAGCGCCCAACAGAGAGACCATGCCTTCGCTGCGGTCTCGTGCACAGCAAGTACAAGCTCGCTGCTTGGATCATGGATGGACTTGACAAATTTGTATAGGCTCGAAGGTCCAGTCAATTCCACTGTCATGTGCAGGCAAGTTCAAATCATAGCCCACACAAAGGAAAAATGATTAGGAAAGCAAACGTTTCAGAATGTAGAAAAAAGAAGGAAGAATCGATACCTATGGATTCTTCTAATGGTGGCTCCAAATTCAGGCCATGCAAAATTGCAAAAAAACGCCCAAAGGTGCAAAAAAAAAAAAAAAAAAACTTAAGCCGTATAGGAATCGAACTCGCGCTAGATGGCTCTAAGCCTTGCGACCCTACCACTTAGGACAAACTTGTTTAGAAGGCGCACGCGATCATATTTGATAGGGGCATAACAGGTAAACTACACCCTATTTAATTATACCTTGGTATGTGAGATAATGTCAAGGCATGTGAGATGACGTCTAAAACGACATTTTTTAGGGACACGAAGAGAGTTATCTTTTAATCTTTTAAGATTTACATTTAATTTGTTTGGAGGGAGTATCTTTCAATAATCTTTTATCTTTTAAGATTTAAATTTAATTTGTTTGGGGTGCGCCAGGCCCCAGCAATAGCGCAACGCTAGGACAACACATGAGAACATTGATAGCAAGCTACTATATTAGATTCTTCCTAAAAAAATAAATTTAATATCATTGTGGCCACGTGTCCAACGGCATCAGATATTAAACTAATAAGAACAAATACTACACTTTATGTTTTCAAAAGACCGAGAAAGGTATGAGTTGCCTAGTAGGCCATGTCCCTTCTTTTATACACGCCTCACCAGCTCTATACTTGTCACCCTGCGATGTGGTACTATAATACTATTCCTCAGCTGAATAGCTGGTGTTAATCGCGATTTGAGGTTCACAATGCCAGGGTTCATTAAGATCATAATATCCTTGTGCTGGGCTTGATGGTCCTCGGCCTTCACTGACTGTTCATCAATGGGCTCAAGTCCAGAACACGCAGCTGGCTAACGAAGGCCCAACGCCGAACCACTGGATTGGCTTTGCGGCCTTATCCAGGAAGGGACAACGAGGCCTTGAAGCTGCTCAGCCTCCTCGGCAGGAAATGTTCCGGTTCGGACCGGAAGAGCGAGCCGATGGCTTCCCGCGCGACGATTCCCGCGCCAAAGTTTCACCCGCACCTCGCTTTTTCCCGCGCGATGAATGTACGGACGAGAGCCGCTGCGGCCCACTTGCGCGATGCTTTTCCCCAGCGTAGGATGTACCTATGTTTTCTTTTCTTTTTATTTTATTTTCTTTTTATTTTATTTTATTTTACTTTACTTTTCTTTTCTCGTTTTCTTTTCTTTTTTCTTTTTCTTCTATTCTTTGTAGATGGCGTAATTTTATTATTTTTTTCTTAACTCTTGGCTGTAACGTTAGTTTCTTTTTCTATTTCTTATATTTCATTTTCCTTTTCTTTTTTTTTTCTTTTTTTCCTTTTTCTTATTATTTTTTGATGTTCGCGTGATGTTCCATATTTATCTTTTCTTTTTTATTTATTTTCTTTGTTTCTTTTCTAATTATGTTTTCTTTAATTCATGTTTTTATTTTTAATCTTTCTTTATTTTTTATTTTACTTTTCTTTTTCATTTTTCTTGTCATGAAACATTCGTTTTTTTGTTTTTGTTTTTGTTTTATGTCTTTATTATTTTATTCATTTTTTAATATATTTTTTTACCTTTCTTTTATCTCTTTTTCTTATTTTTCTTTTCTTATTATTTTTTTATGATGCTCTATGTTGTTTTTTATATTCATGTAGTATACAAGTAATGTTCTATGTTTTTTTATGTTGGGAGAATAAGAAGGACCTACACATGGTTTTTATTGACTTGGAGAAGTCTTATGATAAAATACCAATGAATGTTATGTAATGGGCTTTGGACAAATATAAAGTCCCAACGAAGTACGTCGGACTCATTAATGACATATACAACAATATTGTGACTAGTGTTCGAACAAGTGATGGAGACACGGATGACTTCCCGATTAGGATAGGACTACATCAAGGATCAGCTTTGAGCCCTTATCTGTTTGCCTTAGTGATGGATGAGGTCACAAGGGACATAAAGGGGACATCCCTTGGTGTATGCTTTTCACAGACGATGTAGTGCTAGTTGATGAAAGCCAGACAGGAGTGGATCAGAAACTAGAGTTATGGCGGGAGACTTTAGAGTCCAAAAGTTTTAGACTCAGTAGAACTAAACCTGAGTATATGAGATGTGACTTCAGCACTACTACTCGGGAGGAGGAAGATATTAGCTTGGAAGGTCAGGTAGTGCCTAGGAAGGATACCTTTTGATATTTAGGATCAATGCTACAGATAGACAGAGATATTGATGAAGATGTTAGCCATAAAATCAAAACAGGGTGAATGAAGTGGCGGCAAGTATCTGGTGTCCTATGTGACAAAATGGTACCACAGAAGTTAAAAGGCAGGTTTTATAGGACAGTGATTAGATCTGCTATATTGTATGGTGCAGAATGTTGGCCTACGAAAAGACGACATGTTCAACAGATAAGTGTCGCGAAAATGCATATGTTGCATTGGATTTGCGGTCATACAAGAAGGGATCGAGTTCGGAATGATGATATACGTGATAGATTATGGGTAGCACCAATTGAAGAAAAGCTTGTCCAACACCGGTTGAGATGGTTTGGACATGTTCAACGGAGACCTCCAAAGGTACCGGTGCGTAGTGGAATCCTAAGCCAGGATAGTAACGTGAAGAGAGGCAGAGAAAGACCGAAGTTGACTTGGGTTGAGGCAATAAAAGGAGACTTAAAAGTATAGAATATACACAAAGACTTAGCCTTAGATAGGAGTATTTGGAAAACAGTTATTCACATGCCTGAACCTTGATTACTTTTGCTGGGTTTCAACTCTAGCCTACCCCAACTTGTTTGGGACTTAAAGGCTTTGTTGTTGTTGTTGTTGTGTTATGCATGTGATGTTCTGTGATGTTTTTTATGTTTTTGTGGTACACCTGTGATGTTCTATGGTGTTTTTTTGCGATGTTCGCGTAATATACG